TTCAAGACACTCTGTCCCTTCTTTGACCCAGGCATTGTTGAACTTGACCCAATTCCAAAAAAGTTCCAGATATTGCTTGTTCAAAGAAGACTTGACCGGCACCAGGAAAGATGAACGGTGACTATCCGAACTTTCACCAAATGTCTGAATCCGCCAGAAACCATTTCTACCGTCAGAAACTTACTTCACCTTCAGAAACTCTCTGCCACTTCTCGTAAACCGTTAATGCCTAGCTCTTGCTACGCTCGGGCTCACGCTGTTCCTTGAAGTTTCTCAGAAACGCTTAGTTATAACGGACGCAAATACCAAAACACCGATTGGCTACTCGAGAATTCTTTATTGTATCACTAATATATAGCCAACTTTAAAATTAAGCTTTAACTAAGGTCTGTGAACAAATATTACAAAAATAAATCACAATATTACTTCTGACAGTTTTGGCCCGACTTCTTTCTGAACAGCGACCGATGAGACGATCATTGGTGTATTCATGTCTCCGCGAAAATATAGGGAAGTTGGGTTTGAGCGAACAACCGTGAATTGATCGTTCAATCTTCAACTACATTGACAATAGTAGTTCTGGTTCCTTTCTGAGAACCTCCTAAATTATAAGTCCATTTAACGTATGTGCTTAAATACTACACCTGTTAATTTTTGCCTATTTTTATAATTTTGGATGAAAGATTAACTATTAAGATACTTACCCTCAAACAGACAAAAAAATACTTTTGTTAAACTTCTACCCAACACAATAAGTGGAATAAAATGGACATAAACCGACAACATGAAAAAGGTATGACTCACCACAAGATCATATGGAGAGATGTACGCTCGTCAGGCGTCATATATGCCTCACCAACTGTAACCTAACTTTCCTAAGATAATGTGATGAACTTATATCCGTAGTGTTACTGAGCAGTTAATATTCACAACTCCTGTCGGAACAAGTGAAATTCAAAAACCTTCCTCACGCGAAGAAAATACCCACAAGGAGAAGAAATCCATTAATTAATGCGTCTTAAGCTTGTATATTTTACTCCCAACAATGACATTGTAGATCAAATGAGATAAACATATCACTGATTTCAAAATAACACATCGATGAACTTTAATTCAAGGATTCTGCACGCAACAAACTAACGTATGAAAATTGACTTCAAGCTTTATTTTTTTCCCAGGCACTTATAACCCATTCACCAAAGACCTGGTTTTTTGTTTGTTAATGCGAAGACAATACTTCTGTATTTCCTGACGTGTTGCACTCACTGACAATCTAGCAGATTTTTCCAACTGTGCACAGAAATGATTGTACATAAGTGAAAAGGCTGTTTCATACTATTGGGATTAACATTTATCAAGTGTATGTATAATCCCCAGCGTACATGTAAAACATATTTTGCTATCGACTGTAAATTGTGACTGAATAATATGGTTCTATTTCTGTAACAATTTGATGATGCCTGTAAACCGGCGTCCCTCATGTACTGTACTATGAGAATAAATTTATTTATTTATAATTAAGCCGCAGGAGCCGTCACCGACCTATCAATCAGCCTATTTTTGCATAGCATAGGAGCTCTCGCATGGAGCAGTGAGTTACTCAGACTTCTAATTTGCAGACAAGTCACCTATTTGATAGCAATGTGGTAACACAACAAATAAATTATGTTTACGCGCATCAAAGTATCATCGCCTATTAATCAACGGCATTGTTGAACTTGACCCAATTCCAAAAACGTTCCAGATATTGGTTGTTCAATGAAGACTTCGCCGGCACCAGGTAAGATGAACGGTGACTATCCACAGTCGTGCCAACTGTCCAAAACCGTTTAAAAACTGACTTTGTACTGTCAGAAACTGTCAGCTACATCTGGTAAACCGTTAATGCCTAGCTCTTGCTACGCTCGGGCTCACGCTGTTCCTTGAAGTTTCTCAGAAACGCTTCGTTATAACGGACGCAAATACCAAAACACCGATTGGCTACTCGAGAATTCTTTATTGTATCACTAATATATAGCCAACTTTAAAATTAAGCTTTAACTAAGGTCTGTGAACAAATATTACAAAAATAAATCACAATATTACTTCTGACAGTTTTGGCCCGACTTCTTTCTGAACAGCGACCGATGAGACGATCATTGGTGTATTCATGTCTCCGCGAAAATATAGGGAAGTTGGGTTTGAGCGAACAGCCATGAATTGATCGTTCAATCTTCAGCTCCTTTGACGGCGGCTACTTACTCAACATCCATTGGGGAAACGTTTTCTCCATAAAACATTTTACCTTTTGGAACCAACTATCATATGAATTTTGATGTTTTGGAAACCCTTGCGTGTTCAAACGCAGCCTAGAATTCACGTTTTCATTTCAACCCTTGCTCGTCTAAAAGACTAAAACTGTTGGTAGAATGGTATATGAAATTCATTCTGGTCTTCGGTCTAATTTTCTAAAATGTATGATTTTGTAACATTTCGTAGTATTTCTTATCCATAACATAAGTTGGAGCGTTACTTTGCGACATCTGACGCATAGCATATAAAAATCTACCATGAAAATTTAGCTTAACTAGTGGTGTTAACCTGCTGTTTACTTCAGGATCAATCTACTTATTTTTATCACTAATTCTTCCATAGCGCATTACATTCTGCTAAACAGACTGTAACTTGGTCACTGTAATACCAGCTACTTCTATTCTTCATACTTCTTAAAGCAAACTAAATTTCCTATGCGTTTGTAACAAATACTTACATGTGTAGGCATGTTTGAAGGCGATGCTGTTAAGAATGTCCTCAGGTATCGATGTATCTGGTGACCTAATAGGAAGTACTTGTCACGAAAGCTATTAATGCACGGCATACCGCATGATTGAGACGGGCTCAATCGATAACACCATAGTTTCCATGGTAAGACCAATATGATTAACATTAAACATTGCAAATATGAACTATCGTTCCAAGTGGTCTCCACTTCCATTTTGTACATATCTTGTGAATGTACTTCCAATGATATATTGTCCATAATTTTATCTGATACACTTTGAAGCTGTCCAGGACGTTTTTCTCCTCCTCCTCCTGAAATAGCGTTGAACCATGTGGCGGGCATAGCACTCACCCAAATATATGCTGTTTATCGATTGGCCATAACTATCATCTGGGAATGGAACAAACTTTGCGCTGTCGCTCAATTTTGATGGTGACCTGAGCGAAGGATTTACAATTTAACATTTGTAAGAATCTGTTCTGATTGCTTCGGTGGCACAGTGGTTAGGACTCTCGCCGACCATGCATATGGTCCGGGGTTCGAGCCCACGCCAACGCACACCTGATATCTATGGTCGGCCTGCGAAATTTGGGCTACCGATATCCATGCTGAAAATTCCATACTTGTACCAAAAATACGGTGTGGAATCAAGCTGTAAATCAAAAAAAAAATTCAACAATTTGAACTTTTGAAAAAGTGCTAATTTATGCTAATTTACAATTGTAATTTCTAACATAATTGATTGTGCCTGTAAAATTGGTATGAATTTCATGTAAGCTTACCCGTTTATACGAAATATAAATTATGATTATTACAAAAGAGTCAAAAGCTGCGGTGTGATCCAAAAAGGAGGCTCGAATAAACTTTCCGCCCTTGTCAAGACTTGAGGCAATATTGTGGTGGAGTACGACGACAGCATCTGATGTGCTTCTGTGGTGAGAGCAGGCCGTGAGAAAATATGAGCAAGGCTGATTCAACAACCAATCACAGCAAAGTTAACGTGGCAAAATATGATTCGCAGATAGAGAACTCTATTTGTCGAGTAATCCCGAAACAACCAATCAGAAGCCTGCGTTTGTCTGCCTAACTTCTGATAAACAACCAATCAGATGACTGCGCTTGTCTATAATAATGTATGTGAAATATGTATAAATACGTGTTGATTTTCATAATAAAACGATCTGTTGCCTGGCTCTTGTCTTCTGTTGTTACACTTCTACTGAATTTGCAAGCAAACTACTTTGAATCATCAAAATTTTTCAAAGGAGGATCGATAACAATAGATCTTATCACGATAAACACAGTCCATGTGCACGGTAATGCCATATATTGAGTTAATACACTGAGTATTACACTAACGCAAACTAAGCGAACAATTATATTTCCTACTTCACTGAACTTGCAATAAAAGCCAAGAAGAAACTATATTTTTGTGGAGTATTGGTCTTGATATTGAGTCACCGACTGCTTAAACTGACTCCCTGAAATTGTTGTCAGCGCCCTAAAGTGACTCATTTAAGAAGGGTTCGAACAAACACAGAAATTTACTAGGAAAGTGTTAACAGCTTTAAGCCTTCTTCTTAAATAGCACAGGAACAAATGTGAATCACCAGAATCATTTAAGTTTGCTAGCTTAGCAATTAACCAAGCAGACAGTGGTATACTTGTTTTTTTAGTCCTTTACGATCCCAGTTGAACATAGGACATCAAGCTGCAGTTCTGAAGTTTCAGTAACAGCGGCGTTTATTTACAAATCTTATTACTGGCTTAGCGAGGTAGAGGGGTACTTCAGAAGGGGACCAAACTCCGGATCACTTGCCTGGCTGGAGAGTATTCCACCTCTGTGTCACCGACACACATAACACAGACAAGAACATGACATGTCAGAAAATGAGAGTTCCCTATCAATACAGACAACATATAACAAAATTTTAGTGAAAGAAATCAACATAAAAATTTGCCAGGCGAAATTCTTACCAAGATGCCAATTAAATCCAGCCGGAACTTTCTAAACGGCATTTTGTTAATCCCAGCACTACTGCTTTTGGAGTCAACAAAAGCTCCGACAGTCGAGTGGCGAGACGAACGACGCAAAAATTTACCGAAGATCAGAACCTTTGCCTCACAATCAAGAGGCGGGCACAAAGAAATCAAATTGGTCTAGCTCATAAAAACGATATTGGATATTGGACATCAGATGTTTGGCTAGCTGAATTCAAATTTGTGGTTACATCCTGTAATGAGTTCGGACAATGATACTGATTCAACTGTCATAACATCTGTTGGTTTCGTCACACAGGTGGTAAACAAACAGCAGAAATACGAGATCGTGAGTCAATGAAGGACTTTTTATTTTTTAATATTTGCGAATACCACTTAATTGATAACATCGATCTCACTTCAGACATTTCGGTCAGAAAAGCTGCAAGCATATAGGATTTTGAAGCGAATTTGCTCACTTTACGAAAGTCTGCTGGATTGATGTGATTTTATAAATAATTGTTGTATGACAAGGATGTATGTGTGATTTGTGTTGTCCTCACTTTACAAGTAAAATTAAGCCCTAAGCTTCTGAGATCATGCGGATAAATGTAAAGTCGTGGGCTCTAACCATAGTTTCTGCAGTTTGCTAGGAGCTGTAACTTTAAAAGAGGATCCGTGTGGGGAACATGTACAATCTTATTAATGCGAGAGTCGTCGGAATATGGACTGCTACTCAAAGTCAGTGCAACAGTTGGAAGCAATTTTTGATTTCTGGAGAGCGTGATTTAATAATCACCTCGTGTCATGTGTTTATGTTAATGATGTGCGTGATGTCCGTACTGGACGGCTATGCATGGTTGTGAAGGACGTGACGGGGAAATTCGTCATTTAGTCAAACGAACAGTAGTGCATTTGCACAACTATTTGTCCTATTATGGGTTTTTTCCGCGCCTCTAATGGCATCTATGAAAATGCCTGATATATGTTGTTTTATGTGGTAATGCAGTTTTTAAAGTAATGTAGACCGCTACCTAAGTTGTGTTCTAGTGGTTAGAGGGTATATTCAAAGATCGAAAGGTCGTGCTATCTCCACTCTTTAACGGTATATAGTGAATTTCTTCGCTATTGAACTCATATACTCATACTCAGCTGTGGTTTCTGGACTAGATATATAAGTGTCGAATGCTAAATTGTGGGTATTCTCAATGTTCGGGTTGGTTCTTACAAAGTGTTTTAACGGGTTTCACTGTTTTTCTAATTCATTGATGCATAATTGTAGGCGTTTTGCATTGCTAAAGTTCATTAGATAACTCGTTGACTTCAAAATGCAAGCGAAACCTAAAAGAAGGAACCAGCATCATTGGATGATAAGACGGTTTTATTTTATTACATCGTTACTCTGCATACATTTGAAATTAAATACAATTTTAGCATACTTTCTTATCACCGCGCGTTTTTTTCAGTAGTATGGATTGATGTTGGCATCAATGAGAGGTATACGTCTTCTCTGTTGACTCCCTTTAAGGTTATTTCATAATTTATTAGCTTTTTTTTAGCTAACAAGGGTCTACAAAATAATTATTCACTCGTGTTCTCTGAGCTGGTTGATCTAATTGCGAAGCTTCCGTCGTCCTTCTAGACATCTTCAGCGCAGGTTTGGGTATTAAATGAACCTATTTGAATTCTCAGTGAATGACAATTGTATACTCATGACAACCATTGTCGTGATTGGTTGTTAATTTACAAATTTTGCACGTATTTTAGTGTGAAAAATGAACTGAAACTATGATACTAGGTGAATAGTTTAAATCATCTGTGAATGCATATATTACTCCTGATATTGTGTTTTGTAATATCGCAATGGATGATTGCCGACCTACTAACGTAAATATCAGGTAAATGTTCTTATGAACACATTTAAGTTCAATTCGTTATGCGTTCTGTAGGCCTCTCATTTTTTTCTTAACTCTTGGATTTCCCCCGTTTCTTATGTTTATGTTCTCTCTATCCATGGACACCATTCACTGTGCACAGACAAGTATTATTTGCTAAAATACTTTCACCGTAGTCGGAATGTGCATACGAATTCACACGCATGAATGATACATTTTACCAACGGACAAAATCTTCTGTCAATGATTGGTGTTAAAGTTCACTAATTTAGCAACTGCGTCGCTTCCAACTACCAGTCATGAATACTGCTGTAGAAACAAATTGATGACGAAATTCGTACTACCATCATTTGTTATCTGTAAAGTTTTCTTATCATTCTCATCGTCTGTTTTCACTAGAAAATTACCTTAAATTTGGTTCTTTAATTAGTTTCGTTGATTTGAAATACTTTAAAAAAAATTCTGATAATACATTAATATTTTATTTATCTTAAACCTTCTAGTTATCGCGAACTGCGGATACTTCTGAGGATGCTGGTTTATGGTCTTCAAGTCTTTTGACACGTCGGAGTCGATACTTATGCTTTACAACAGAAAATGCAAATACATGTGTAGGTCCAGTTTCCAGTCTCATTCAGATGTAAATATTTTATCAATAAAAATGCAACTTATTTATCATAGGTCTTTTTGCGCTTAGCACCAAGATATGCTTATTGTTTGTTGCTAAGGTGAATATTTGTTTGACATTTAGGTTGTCCATCTGTCTCAGTTTATGTTTATCAGCGTATTGATACACTAAAAGTGCAGTTCGACAAGACAAAAGATATCCTCCTAGGCTATTCAAATACATTTGGGAAAAATTTGTCCAAATCCTCGTTCACTCACAATCTTTCGTGTTTAAGTGAATGGTGTGTGTTGTGTTCTGCCATACCATTATACTTACATCTAACCAATGGGCCTTTAGTTTATTAGTTCAGATAGTTGGGTTCTATTCAGTAGGTTATGAGCTCGAATTTCGAACACCTGGACAATATCAGTTGAACGTGTTGCTCATTGGTTTAAGCAGCGTTTCCAACAAATCATTTCTGTATTTAAGTGCTCTTTTATATGCTTCACTGAGAGCAAACGGCTACTAACACTACTCAGTTTTGTTTGATCTTAGTTATCCCTAAATATATCTTACTGTACCACGGTATGAAATATACTTTTATGTGAAGAATGATCATACTTCTCAGTTGCCCAGGCCGCAATACGTCGAGCGAAGATGATATCCAGACGCCACTAATTTTTTGCCAAGTCTGTCTGTCTGTTTTCGATGTAGAACTTTGCACAAATGTGCGGCTGTTCAAGTCGCCACACCATGTAGCACACAAAGCAACAAGAAATACATAATAGAGACAGTAAGCAGAGGTGTGAGACAAAGGAAGAGTAATAACGAAGAACAAAACAGTTTCATTGGAAATCTTAAGTCACAAAGAGTGGATGCATCTCCGCCGGCCATTGAGAACTATTTTGAACCTTGTCACCAATTGTTTCCAACCATTGGTTTTTACCGTCCTGAGGACCCCAACCAGGAAGTCTACACCTTCCTACATGGTTTAGACTAACTGTTGTGGATTTCATTGACTGGTGCCATGTTTTTGTTTGACCTCTGCTAGCTTTTTGCCAGCCTGACCGTATATCCGCTAACATTGCCAAGTACTTAAGTCAATAAACTGCATCTCAGTCCTTACATTCATTAACCGTCACATTAAATGGAGCCCATAATTTAATATATAAAATAATAGTATCGTGTAGCTGAAGTCCATTGTTTTATTTGTTACTATCAATATTTCTCACACAATGAAGTACAATTAATAAACATTTGTTACTGAGTTACTAGTATAAAGCATAAGTTTCATATCAAACAACCTTCAAGTTTGCTTACAGGATTTCATCATGAGCTGACATCGGCTAGAGAACCACTGGAAGACCTGGGAGTACAGGACAGCTGTTTCGTACCAGTTTGGGACTTCATCAATACGCACCCATCACAAAGAGCTCAAACCCAGGGCCTTCTGGTTACAAGGCGAGCTCGTCTACCGTTAAGCCACCGGGACCCGATCCAATGGCCAGTCCATGAATTCCAACTTCTGCTAATTCACGACATAGCGCGACCGCTAGCCAATGTCTTCGGCGAGTTTTCTAGGGGTTCTGTAACCGATGTCAGCTCATGATGAAATCCTGTAACTAATCAATAAAATCCCTACAAACCAATACTTTATCTATGAAGTCATCCAGGGGTGGATGCTAAAATACACTGAAGTGAATAACCGTTTGTAAAATTAAGCCTTCTTCCCCGTAAGTACAAAAACAATTTATTTTCAGCCTTAATCTACCTTAGTAATCCTTATCTGATTATATTACCAAAGAGTAGGATTAATTATTATACTCTTTACTCTTAAATCCATTGTTATTTTGTACTTTTTAGTAGAACTTTCTTCATTTTTCGTTTAAATTAAACTGACAAACAAATGTATAATCCAATAGTTCATTTTTCAGAGCAACTCCGCCTCATAATAACACTATCGAAATACATGTAAGGATTTGAAATTAATTTCGATAAACCTATCAGTGAAGTGAATATAAAAACTACGTAGCTTTTAGATATTATGTCTCTTTAATTTGTTTTCTGTACTTTTACTTATTAATTCAGCCTGCACCGAAACCAGTTCTTGTAAATCTTGTGCTAATCGACGACGGTGATCGTATTCCTGATAACCATCAAGCAGTGTATAATACATTAGATACAGGTAGGGTGTAAATGATTATGATTATTATTTATTTCAGCTTTACATATCTATTTTCAATTTTGTTTTCTTTCTTCTTTTCTCTTCATGCATTTTTCTTGTGAGAAGGAATGGGCTAGTGGATGATGTTGTAAACAAATACTCATATATTCATATTAAAACGGGTCTGAACCATCGATAGTTGAAATAAAAACTCAGCAACTGTATCTCGTAATTCATTCAGTTGAATATATGGCGTCTACCATGTAAAACTCATTCGCTGCTCTCACGTGGCTGAGGTGAATGCGAACGTCAGGCAGTTACATCCGGATTCGTGGTGGACGTGCATGTCTACCTGGAGGAACTGGAAAATCTTGATTCCAAGTTTATAATGTACGTGAGCTTCAGAATCCGAACGAATCGAATAGTGTATCAACCTGTTTTGGACACTGGAAACCTAATACTGCTCCACTGCCTTGTGGGTTAGACTTCAAGTCAAAGACTTGTGGAGTGGCTTCTCAAGACAACTGCTTGCTCCAGTCTAGGCGTTCGTGTAGTATCCTGACCCTCTCGCGTAGTATTAGATTTTGTGTGGCGCATAATGTACGAAGTGTATGTTTTGATAATAATAATCCCAGTTTTCAACTTCATTTATTCATCAATTATATAAAATGATGTATATTTGAAATGTCACTTGGTATATCTGCCTTCAGTATACTTTTTATTGTCGGAAATTTAATCGGTTTTATTAATATGGATTGACCTAGTGTTGTGTTGTCACTTTATTTGAATTGCTCAGTGCTTATCACTTTATTGACAGGAGAAAGTAAACTTAATGACAACAGCATTTTAGTAAGATGTAAGTTTAAAATGTTGGGGAAGGAGTGAAAGAGGAAAATAATATAAAATCTCATAGTTTATGCGAGGGCTGGGATACTTCATTACACACTCACACCGATGCAGGTGATTGTCTTGAGCAGCCGCGTCCCGAGAATTGGACTTGATGCCTGATTCGTAAGGCAGTGGAGTAACGTCAGGAGCTATGCGCCCATGGTTTCTAGTGACCAAAACAGGTTCATGCGCCATCCGATCTTTTCGGATTCTGGAGCCCGCTTGCAACATATATTTGGAACCAAGGTTTTTCAGCTCCTGTAGGTAGACCAGCTGTCAACTAGTCCAGCTATAAGCGCCAGACGTTTTCATTCACCCATCCACTCTTGTGAGGAACAACTGCGCTGCATGAAGGTAGAGAATAAGACTAACCTGGAAGAAGATTTTAAACGCGTGGGCACACGAGAGCATATCTAGAAGGTCAAAGTCTATTCACCCTGGACCCTACTAGAGGCGGCAGTGACTGAGCATGCGGGTCATGCAGAAAGTGGCGAGATAAACTTGCGACGGTGTCCGGGTAGGTATGTGTTACGAGTAGTTAGCCTCGATCAAAACCTGCCGCCCGGTGTACGGGGCTTAAATCCTTAACCTTCAGATTAGATATTTGATTTTCTGTCCTCTGAGTGCTACTAAATCCAACTGTTAATTTACTGGAATTTCCCCACAGTATATTCAGAATAAGAGAAAGACTGAACCATCAGCTGTTTTCAATAACTTTCTTATTCAAGCTTTAAGGTTATTGTAGTCTAATAATCGTTGCTGTTAACTAATTTACGATTAAATATAGACATCTACCTACGCAAATTACCTTTTTACTATGTATTTCTTAAAATAGACGTGGAAATGTCAAATCATTAAATCTTTAAATAGCGCTTTTGTTAAAAAAAAGAACTAAGTAAAATATTTATTATTTTTCTCTAGGTATGTCATTTTGATTACGTTTGACATGAGTTATCCTATAAGCAGTTATTCTCTTCTCATTTCATAAGGAGTAGGAGAATGAAAGAGTAGGCCTGATGAACTAAAATCAATCTTTGGTTGATTATGTTTCGATCCAAATTAGTCAATCAGCAAAGAATACAAAATTAACTTAAACAAATAATAACTAATAACTGTTGCACAAGAGTTGGCTATCGTGGCACAAGTGGCTAGCTTAATGGATAAAGCTTTTGCGTTTGGGACGATAGGTGCTGGGCTCGAGCCTCAGTGGGAACACAATCACTCACTTAGATCACAAGTACGTCCAGTTGAAATGATAAATCTCGACTAGGGCGAAATGCACACCTTGGATTCCACTGTTAGTTACTTACCATTCGTTAAATAACATCATAAAACTAATCTTGTTTAAGAGAATTATTATGAAATGTCTTTTGTCATTGGATTTCAAATTGATGCCGCTGAGTTCTGAGATCAGCATATGTTTTGCATCCAACTAAGATATTGAATTTCGTTAAGAATTTTTGCGGAATTTTTTTTGTAAACTACCCATATCTATATATATTCACTTGTATGCGAGATGAGTTTTATTGGGATTATCTTTTCAGCTCATTAGTGATTGACGCAATCATTGATTGGAGTACCCCTGCTTACCCATACACTAATATGTGTACTAATGGTGCGAATAGTTCACCCGAAGGAAGAGGGCTGTTAAGTGCTTGCATCACAGATTGATACTGAATGTTGTTTTGGTCCCACAAGGGACTGGGATGAATGTGTTCGGTTCTCCTGAAAACCACTGTAAAAGTACCTAGTCTGTGGGTGTATAATTGTGTGGGTAAACTGGTTAATTCTGCTCGTCTCGGAGATTAAGCTATCCATGTATAGGTAAATACCATGAAACTATGAGATCGCGAACGGCTCATTAAATCAGCTATGGTTCTTTAGAACATATAAACTACATGGATGACTGTAGTAATTCTATTGCTAATACATACTATTATGGCCTAACCCACGGGGGAATGGATGTATTTACTAGAACAGAACCAACTAGGGGGAGTTTTCGTTGTCTGTGTTGAATTCTTTGGTGACTCTGGATAAATTTCATGATCTCAGCGGGCCTTGTATTGGCGATGGATCTTACTGCAGTTTAAAAAAAGTGAAAAGTGGTCTTTCAACTGGTTTGTTGAAAATTTTTCTTGTCATAGAATTGTCTTGTCTGTCATCTCCAAGCTTCAAACTGTAATGGACGCTTGTAAAACACAGATATAATGTTTACTGACTGTTTTTTTGTTATTTTTAAAGCAAGTTTCATTAGCGTGCAATTAAATTGACGCATGAAAATTAAGCATTCAATGAATGGTCTCAGAATGTTTTGGAAGGAAAAAAAATGTAAAGTACACATGTAGGGCTAATGATACTATCTGTCTGTCAGGTTGTTGTGCTATTGAAACCATTTACTTACTTACTTACTTACTTTACTTCGGCTATCTCCTACGGGAGGATGAGCCGGCTTCATGAACGTCTCGAATCATCGCTGCCCAGGCGTGGCAATTTGTAAGAGAGTTCATGAAGTTTCATGGGAATTTGGTACGAGTGATGTCCCCAGCATCGCTCGGCCTTTTGTTTGAGAGTGCAGCTCTAGCCTTTACACAGCCAAGTGTGACCTACAAGGCAGTAGGAGTGAAGTAAGGAGTCCACTATCCATTGGCAGCCGGTGACCGGAGTTCGGTTCATACGCCTTTTTGAATGGGGCCAGACATCCAGGACATCCAACAAGCCCTTTGTCCATACGTCTGCCGGTGAGCTTCATACGCCAGTCGTTGGAGGTTTGGAATCAGGGTTTAGCCATCTCCCCTAGACCGTCATCCAATGGACAGTCAACCCGGTGGAGAGCGCCGGGCATCCGCTTTTTGCTCAGTGAGTCTCGGCTAGAAAATAGTTGAAGCTTGAGAACCCTGGATAAAACTGTCTTGTCTTAGCTTGAACACTGTTTAAAACTTGGAGGAAATAATTGTTTAGTGGTCTTCAGTTTTTTTTTTTACTAGCTGTGAATGTCTTGTTATGGTCTAAACTGACTTTAAAATCAGTGACATTTTCACTAACTAGTCTTTCTTGGTTGGATCTGCTTTCTCAAACCATTTTTTTAATGAGAATACCATGTAACTGTAATCCGTTGTAAGCCTTAAAGTACTCTGAGTCTTTTTTTAATTGTAAGTGACAGTGGAAGCTTGTTCTATTCAGACGAGAAATGAACTAAACAGCACACACTCACGGTTTATTAATGAATAACAATTTTTACTTTTTAAATCTGAGCTCACTGTATGTAGTTGCCTTTATTTCTTACACAATTGTTATCTAATAATAAAGATCATAAAATACATCAAATATCACTAGTTATGACTTTTATTTCCGTAATGTAAATATATTTATTGGATCGGGCAAACATTGAAAAAACTACCAAGCGACATCGCGCGCCAGGTCCTCGAGAGAAATCCAAATGGAAAGCGACGAGTGGTTAGTCAGTGCAAAGGTGACACGGAGGAGATCGTGTGATGAGGAGGAGATGAGAGATTATGGGGAATCGTGGGCCCAGATGAAGAGGACGGTAGAAAATAGAAGAAAGTGGAGATGTGTTGTTGAAGCGCTATGTTCCACACGGAACCAAAGGGAATAACAATAAAATATAGGATATCTCTATGGGTATAATCACAGCGAGAAGAATCCTCTTGGTGGAATAATTGTTTTTAATAACTTCTTCAGATTCTGTAATTGTTAATTCAATGAATATTAGAACAGAAACAACCAGTAAAGGGGTAAATCACGGATTAATATCAGTTTGAGAGCCATTGAAAGTCAGGGAGTACTAGACAGTTGGTCAACTTAAAACTCATCAAATCCCCACAAATTAACCATCGAAAAATTAATTGTCTATTCACACTTTAGTCTTAGGTTCTGATGAATGTACGTTTTATTTACATTTAAATTAAAATCGAAACCAACGGGCTGTTATTATTCCATCTTAATTCTTGGTCTAATACAGTTTCTGATACAATTTACCTTTACTGGCTATTTATAGATTCATAAGTGCAGGTGTTGAAGAGGAAGAAGTTTTCAAAAATAATTGTTCGCCCAAAAGATTTTCTTATTCTGAGTATATCTTGGAATTTTAAATACAATGTGATTCATTAACCACTTGTTATGCATGACTAAGTTGATGCTACTACTTCAAACGGGAAAGGGAATATAAGTACATACGTATACAATGTAGAATGATATAAAATTGTATAGTAATAAATAATTGGGTGCGTCGGTGGCACAGCGGTTAGGACTCTCGCCAACTATGAACATGGTCCGGGGTTCAGTCCCCGGCCGATGCACTTCTTTACCTCGCTAAGTCAGAAATAATACTGGTAAAGAGGAAAGGTTGGACATGAGGCTAGCAACCCCATCCTGTAAAATAAAACACTGCTACAGAAACTTCAAGCCACTAGGTTGTCTGTCTGTCTGTCTGGATTCAACATAGAACTTGGCACCGAAGTGCAGCACTTCGAGTTGCCACGTTCCAAATAGCACACAAGGGTAGACAAGAAGATGAGTGAAGAGAATCAATAGAGTTTGACAAGTATAAGAGCGAAACTGAATGGGTAATGGTAGAAAGGAATATGAAAGATTACAGAGACTGAATACATCTGCGCTGGCCATTGACAACGATTTTGAGCCATGTCACCTATTGTCTCCAGCCATTGATTCCTAGAGTCCCGAGGGCCCCAACCCAGAAGTCTTCATCTCCCTACCTTACTCAGTTTGACTGTCAAGGATTTCATGGATTGATGAGGCCATGTTTTTGTTTGGCCACCACTTACTCTTTTCCAACCTGCACCTATATCAGTTAGCTAGTAATGCCCGTCGGGGTAGTCGATGGTTAGGCCTGCGCAGCACGTGACCTAGCCATCTCAATCTATGTAATTTTATAGCCTCGTCGATTGATTTTCCCTCTTTGCCCAACACTCTACGCCTAACGTCAACCTTAACTTTCCTTATTAAACCACCTTACGTGAGAAAGAGATCGTAGACATCTATGATCAAAAACAGCCAACCTTTTCATGTCTTCGCCACTAGGTTCCACTGGGAACGTGAAGGAAAAAAATAAATAGTCACAGTGAATATTATTCAAATCTATATCTTCCACTTTGTTTATGGTTCATCTCCATTTGTTTCCAATATATTTTAATTTCCATCTCTCCTTCTTTGTGTTCACGTTAAAAAAAGGACATAAGGTTATATATTTGTCATTTTATCTTTGTACTATTTATTTGTTTCTATACCTTTTTGTGTAGGTGAACGTGCTCTTAAAAGAAAGATTCTATGCGCTAGATATTTACCGCGTTTATCAACTTCTCATGCAATTACCAAATTATCTATATATAGTCGTGCCCGTGCTCCAGTTCCTGGTTTTACACGTGTTGGGTAAGATGGTATATACTTGTCTGTTCTGTTTGTTTTTGTGCTGTATACCTTACTCACGCCTTGAAGTAATGTAACTGAATCATTTATGATCATAGTAATTATTTGGTGGTGATAGTATTAAGGTGTGGAATCCAAGGAGGGACGTTTCATCAGCTGATCAGGAAGATTCCAGATGAATGTACCTACATGTCGATGAGTGGTGCGTTCAAACCCTTGCACCAATCATTTCTGGAACTAGAGTGTTATTGACAACGCCGTTGAATGACGAGAGTTACCTCAGAGCTATCAGTGGGAAACTTAGAGCTATAAACAAATGATGTCAAATATGTTCATATTTCTGAGGAATCCAATATTTTGTAAGAGTCATTTATATTTCGACTGTTATCGTTAGCAAATATGAATAAACAAGGCCTTAATAACCACAAAACACTAGATAACTCATTATTTCCTAACCCCATGGCACAGTAATACTGTAGATGGAGAGTATTCAGATTCGGTAGTAAATATCGTAGAGTTAAACTATTCTGTTGACTGACACATTCTTTTGGTTTTTATAGACAATATAAGATGTGGTGTTCCTTTCTAGTTCTTTAAATCTCAATTGGAAGGAGTAAAATCAAAGAAAAAGAGATGAGAATTATGCAATCAGGTATCGTAGAATACTTTCACACAGAAAAAGTAAAGACCAGATTGGCAAAAGCATGTCATTTTTCCATTAGGATAATTAGATGTGATTGTTTTCCGACTCATATTATCAATTCTGAGCCACATCGCCTTACTCCCTAACCATATACACATCTGTGTTCACATGTACCCTGGCAGTACAGGACGTACTTCTGTACACGTGTCAGATCATGTCAGTGACTTTTATGCCTTGATATCACTCCTCAGTCTAGCCACCATTACCTTAGCTGGTTAATAATAATAAAATAATAATTTTTCCTTCACGTTCCCAGTGGAACATAGGGCTTCAACCTAGTGGCTTGAAGTTTCTGTAGCAGTGTTTTATTTTACAGGATGGGGTTGCTAGCCTCATGCCCAACCTTTCCTCTTTACCAGCATTATTTCTGGCACAGAGGCGTAAAGGAGTGCGTCGACCGGGAATCGAACTCAGGGCCATATGCATGTCTGGCGAGTATCCTAACCACTGTGCCACCGACGCACACCTTAGCTGGTTACTCTTCTTATTTACGACCAACGATTTTGCAGTCGAATCTCGCAATTCACAATAACATATTGATGCATTTTTTTTAATGGAAAGGCAGTTTAAAGGGTTAAAAAGAATTCAACAACTGTTATGCATGTAAAGTATGATAACTTCACTTACCAAAGCTGTAATATTCTTACTGCTGAAAGGGAAGCCAAAATATAAACCATATGTATTTATCCTCTTATTTTCTGTAAATGTGTTTTCAAAGGTTGTTTTGAAAAGAATAACCTTTGGAACTTTGTCAGAAGGAAGCGACTTACGCAAATATTGTTTCGTTAAGAAAAAATATTTGGCATGTTCAATAAATTTAGTTGTTAATATAGGAAATCCTATAGGAATTATACAATCAGTAATTCAATCTAATTTTGTTCGGCAAATTACTCCAAACTATTTGTATTCAAGCTGTTTGTCTATTCATGGTCTAAAATGTGAATGACTGACTGACTGGTTTCAGCATAGAAATTTACAAAGATGTGCAGCAGTTCGAGTCGCAACACTCCCTCCTTGTAGCACACACAAGGCAAGAGAACAGAGTCACGACAAACTCAAAAGACAGATGATAAACAGAGGTGTGTGAGTAAGGGAAAAAGAATAGTAATGTAGAAAAACAATAGAATTTTATTAGAAATGATCAATCACAAAGGGTGAATTCATCTGCACCAGCCATTAGGAACGATTTTGAGCCATATCACCAATTGTCTGTCTCCAGCATTCATTGGTTTTTACCACCATCTCGAGGACCCCAACCAGTCAGGAAGTCTACACCTCGGTACGTGGCTGGCTATCTGGCTGACTTAAACTAACTGTTGTGGATTTCATTGACTGACGAAGCCGTGTTTTACTTTCATTCCCACTAGCTAACCCTTTTCTAACCTGATACTATGTCAGCTGATATCGTCTGTCTAGGAAGGCGATGTTCAGGCCTACGTAACGCTTATCCTAATCATCTCAATCAATGTAGTTTCACGACCTCATTGACTTATTTTCCCTCGTTACCTAACCATCGACTCAGGCCTAACCTCAATGTTGCTCACTTTTTTATACCACTTAACACGGGAGATAGAAGACAGACACGTTTGATAAAAGACAGCTAGCCAGGCTTTGCATATCTTCCACTTTCAATGGCCATGTCTCACAGCCAGTCATAAAGGACTGAGCGGACTCCTGACCAGTACACACGTCTTTTGGATGATAGCCGTATATCGCGTCCACGCTACAGATGACGCAAGTTAACATTATACCAAGTGAGACTTTTGTATCTCCTCTGAGATTTCGTCATCAGTCAGTCTATTCAGACTGATGCACATTTACTGCATGTTTTTAAGCTAAGAGTCGGTTCATACCAGAGATTCATGATCAAAGTAAGGGTCATAATGACGCGGTGAGTTGTAGTAAGAGCATGTGTACGATCTGACATGTAGGTGTGAAATAAAATAATAATAAAATGGTGTAGATGAAAAAGTGCATATCATTTTTCAGCATATTGATATAAATTTAACTGGTATAACCTATTTGTAGAGACTTCCTGAGTATCATCTGAAATGCTAATTACATACATCAGCAACAAAGGACATTGGTAATCTCAAGATAATACTGTAGTAAGCAGGTGTTATAATTATTTGTAATAGTAGTATAAGTATTTCGCAATGACCGAATTAAAGGAAATCAACCAACAACACAGAAAGAGAGATAAACTTAGGGATTTGTATTTGGCGGAATTATTTTTAATTCATATAATAAATATATTAACAAACAACAGTAGAATATTTAAACAATACAGTGATAGAAATTGTCAATCACCACAGCAGGATAATATTTAAATATGCATATTACTAATACTGCAGCTAGTCTCCTATTTTTGCCTTTACTGAAAAAAAATGTCCCTCAAAAATTATTTGCAAATGTATACAGTTAGCAATGAGCTATGTGCCTAGTGTGTGTGTGTGTGTAAAGATTAGCAGTACTATCTCTCTACTGAAACCTTAGAATAGACGGAGAGACTAGACAAAAATCAATGCACCACAGTTCCAATTTTGCCTTTATTATTAAATAACCTTTCATCCTAAAATTTAAAAAAAGTTAATTCTTACACACGATCACAATGAATGTATATTTTTTCCTACCGTACTGTCAGTTGATGAGGGAGTAAAAGTTCTTTCTCCTGCTCTAATGGTATTGTTAATGCTTGTGGTTGCAGTGTAACAACAGAAGACAAGGGCCGGTAACAGATCGTTTTATTACGGAAATCAACACGTATTTATATATATTTCCTGTACATTATTATAGCTTATTCAAGTAGACAAACACAGTCTTCTGATTGGTTGTTTCGGGTTTCTCGGAAGGTTAAGCTATCTATCTGTGAATCTTATTTGCCCACGTTAAGTCTGCTGTGATTGGTTGTTGAATCAGCCTTGTTCATATTTTCTCACGGGCAATATTAGTGACCTAGATATTGACGTAGATTAATATCTACCAATTGGCTAGCAGCCTGCTCTCACCACAGTAGTTGTTATTACGGTTAGCTGGCTTACTGTACAGGTCAGATTCCCGAGATGTTTGTATCGTATTGGGAAGTTAATAAATCCAATTCTATTTCTGTCACTTGGTAATTCCTATTTCCTCAGAATAATTATCGTCGATAGTGATATTTTAATAGTTTAATTAATGAATGTTTATAGATGTGATTTTATTGCATAATAGTAGTCAAATTCAAACGATGAACTATCAGATTGTGTATCATTCTACTGTGTACGTCAAGAGGTAGCTGTTTTCTACACTGAAAATTACAATATTAACTTACTACATATTTTAAAGATGATTTGTATAATTTATTTATTTATTTAAACACATTTAGTATAATGTCGTCAACAAAAGATGTGCCACACAAAAGTAAAACAATAGTGTAAGGAAAATAAAAGCGAATAAATGAGGTATATTATCAAGAAATGGTGTAAGCTGCTTACTTATTAAGAGCATGCACAAATCTAATATTATCTCGGTCACTTCAAGTGACCTCTGCGGATGGAATTATATAGCAAACTCGTCGGCTACTCCATAAGCAAAGATACGAAATTGTGCCTATTGCAGTCTCCAAATTCATTCATTGTGTGCGGGCTGAGATACTGCCTGGGCGCCCAGACCGAAGCAGGTGGTTTTATTAAGGGACCGCCCCCCGAGCCTTTGACTTGGAGTCTAATCCGCAAGGCAGCGGAGCAGCGTCAGGAGCTGCATTCCCATGGTTGCCGTTGACCCATATGGGTTCATACGCCATTTGATCCGATTGGATACTGGAGCCCATGTACCCCATGGTAACTGCTTTTAGTTTAACCGCTATCCAGAAAACCTCCCTGACATGGTAGGACCTGTAGAGACAGAGTCCCAGTCAGTTCAGCTCGTTGGGTCATTGCGGTATTCAAGCTCGACCACCACGACAAGGTAGCAGTTATCGGCCGGGAATTAAAGCAACGAACTCTCATTGAAACTCAACGCGCGCTAGTAAAAATGATTCCAAGCAATATTGATCCCTCAGGCAACTTATTTCCTTCCTACCTTACTTTTATTTTTATACATAGTTTCCTGTATTTTACCTTTGCTAACCTTGGCTTCTTAACCTTCGACAGCCTTTCGCCTTTGTCGAGATTCCCAGCCTATCCGTGTCGTTTCGAGATGTTAGTGAGTAGTCCTCAAAATGGTTGTTCCCAATGTGACATCTAACACAGATATCCTGAAACCGCGTGCTGCGTTCAAGCTGGCTACCTACAATGTTCGGACGCTGATGCAAATCGGACAACAGGCAGGGTTGGCAAGAACTTTGGAAAGCCTCGCTATCGATGTCTGCTGCATTTCGGAGACCCGCATTCAAGATCCCAGTGAAGTGCTTCGACTATCCTCTCCATCTGGAAGTTCTAGTAGTATGTACCACCTGCGCTTATCCGGGGACCCTGTGGCGTCGGCATCCGGCGTAGCTGGTGTCGCACTGAGCGCTAGAGCCGAAGCTGCACTGCTCGACTGGATTCCCATTAACAGTCGTTTATGTGCTGTGAGGCTGGAAGGTTATACGAAAGTAAGGAGTAGTAGGCCAGATAGGCGGTGTCTATTTGTTGTCTCTGCCTATGCACCGACGGATTGCAGCCCGGATGCAATGAAGGATGAGTTTTACTACCAACTGAGCGATCTCTTGAAACAGGCGGGTCGGAGGGATATCGTAGTGCTGGCTGGGGACTTGAATGCACAGGTCGGGCGTCTAAGCTCAGAGGAGAATCGTCTAGGTGGTCAGTGGGGACTACATGGTCGCAGGTCAGATAATGGGGACCGTCTTCTGCAGCTTTGCGCGGATCACAACCTATTTCTAGCTAGCACCAACTTCCGGCACAGCCATCGCCGTAGCGCTACCTGGCGTCCTCCCTCTGCGAAGCAAGCTTGGACTCAGATTGATCATATCGCGGTCAGTTTCCGGTGGCGAGGATGCATACAAGACTGTCGCTCCTTCTGGAGCACATGCCTGGACTCCGATCATGCGTTAGTGTGTGCCAAGTTCGTCTTGCGATTTGGTGGGGTTCGTAAAAGCCGTCGTCTAAGCGTTGATGTGAGCAAACTAGTAGCACCTGCTACTTCTTTGAAATATCAGAATGAGTTAAAAACAATGCTTGCCAGCAACCCCCCAAGTAGTATAGATGAACATTGGCTTCATGTGCAAGGTGCCATGCAAAAGGCGAGTGTAGCCGCTTGCGGCTTGAAAGAATGCTCCGCTAACAACCACTGGGTTTCTGCGAGTTCCTTGCAACTCATGGATGAACGCCGGTCCATTCCGGCTGGCAGCGAATACAACAATCAGCGAAAGGCGCTCACGCGCAAGATTAGACAGTGTTTACGTAAGGACCGCGAAGCCTGGTGGTCAGAACGTGCGTGTGAGATGGAGTCAGCTGCTGCATCTGGCAACAGTCGGAAGCTGTTCCAACTCATACGAGCCACCGGCAGCAAGAAACAAGGTGTCAGCGAGACGGTCTGTGAGGCAGATGGCACTCCAATTACCAGCCTGAAAAGACGCCTGGAACGCTGGGCAGAGCACTTCGGGAAGCAGTTCAGCTGGCCACCAGCTTCAGTGTCTACTATCATTAGCCCGAGTGCTCCTTGGTCGGTTAGTACCGACCCACCCACCGAAGCGGAGGTCCGTAAGGAACTCCAAGTTCTGAAACGCCATAAGGCGCCCGGCCCAGACAAATTACCCCCGGCTCTTTTTAAAGATGGTGGCGAGACTCTCACAATGGCTCTAACTGGGTTGTTCAGGAAGGTGTGGGAGACAGAGAGTGTACCATCAATGTGGAACGAAGCCATTATCGTCCCCATCTTTAAAAAGGGTCGACGTAATTCGTGTGACAATCATAGGGGTATCAGTCTGTTACCAGTCGCGTCTAAAATATTGGCTGCTGTCTTGCTTCGCAGACTGTGCAAAATACGTGAAGGATTGATTCGCGAAGAGCAGGCTGGGTTTCGTTCAGGTCGTGGATGCATTGATCATGTGTTCACCCTTCGTCAGTTGTTGGAACACCGCCACACGTATTGCAGGCCAACGATCGTTGTGTTTCTTGATATTAGGGCTGCCTTCGATTCGTTGGACAGAACTGTGCTCTGGAACTGTCTGTTAGAGAGAGGTGTACCTGAGAAATTTGTTAACATCTTGAAAGCCCTATACAGAAACACCTCAGGTAGAGTGAGGGCATACAACCAACTATCACCACTGTTCCCAACCAACAGTGGGGTTAGACAGGGTTGCCCAATCTCTCCATTTCTCTTTAACTTTGCCATCGATGACATTCTGGAGTCAGCTCTGAAGGATGTGCGTGAAGGTGGTGTAGATCTGCTACCTGGAGATAGACTTTTCGACCTCGAGTATGCAGACGATATCGTCTTACTGTGCGATAGCATGCAGGCTGCCCAAATCGCACTTAATCAGTTGGCGATCAGTGTCTGTAAGTATGGTATGTGCTTTGCGCCGTCTAAGTGCAAAGTACTGTTACAAGATTGGCAGGAGCCTGTACCTGCACTCACTCTTGCGGGTGAACCGCTTGAAGTTGTTGATAAGTTTGTGTACCTGGGTAGTTGTGTGAGTGCTGGCGGAGGGGTGACGGATGAGATTTCCAACCGTATAATGAAGGCTAGGGTGGCATACATCAACTTGAGCCACCTCTGGCGCCGTCGCGACGTTAGCCTGGCTGTCAAAGGTCGGGTATACAATGCTTCGGTGCGGGCTGCCTGCTCTACGCCTGTGAAACCTGGCCTCTCCGAGCTGAGGATGTGCGGCGACTCTGCGTGTTCGATCACCGCTGTCTCCGCAGGATTGCTTGCGTTCGATGGCATCATCGCGTGAGTAATTCTGAGGTTCGGCGGCGTGTGTTTGAACACAGTGGAGATCACCATTCATTGAATGTCGTCATCTGGAAACACCGGCTCCGGTGGCTTGGACATGTGCTGCGAATGTCACCCCAGAGGCTTCCGTACAGGTCTCTGTTCGCTAGCCCTGGGACGGGATGGAAAAGGCGGAGAGGTGGTCAGTCCATGACGTGGCGTCGTGGGATGAAGGATTTTTGTGCTAGATTAGCATCGGTTGGTGTGTCACGACTCCCTGGTTGGGGTCCGAGAGATAGCTCAAATCGATGGCTCGAAACGTTATCGGATATGGCCAAGAATCGTAATCAATGGCGAATGTGTTGCGATTTCCTTCTTTCTTCCCTTCCCGATGATAGCTAACGAACACTGTTTGAACTTGTTAAGCATGACTGTTTTCCTTCCAGATGAAGTTCTTTATCCGTTCTCTACTTATATATATATATTTTCTTTTCCTTCCTTCCTTTTTTTTTTTTGATCTATGTTGTTTTATTATTATTGTGTGGCGCATCTTCTTGGTGCCATATTGTACCAAGTTTTTTATGCGTTTAAATAAATTAAATAAATAAATAAGTCTCCAAAGGAATAGAACACTAGGAAACCTTGCAGTCTTTTACATCTTTTATAGAATAATTGTATACAGTCGAGATGTCATCGACTAGTTACCTACTCATAATGTAGATAGTCCAACTGTAGAATTGTTAACAGCGTCCTCTGTAGCAGTATTCATCTGTTAAGGGTATAATGTCTGTTTACATTTTTACAGCTGTGTAAATTATCGATGGCTGTTGGTTCTAGATTCACAAATACAGCACATGAAACCTAATGTCGATGACCTGTTTCACTGAAAAAAAGTACTGAATGAGTTATTTTCATTCAGAATTTTCGAATCGCTTGAAATTCACCCATCTGGTTGAATAGTATGTTCAAAGCAAAAGAGTCATCCATCTACGATTTTGCTTGACCATCAACAATGATATATTCGCGCACGATTTTGGAATGTATTGTTTCCAACCAATTCTGTCAAATTATTAGAATAGAAAGTAGAAAAGCTTGAATTTAAAATTTATGCTTGATACTTTTGTCGTCTCTGTCTCCATTAACATTGTATCAACCTCTTTCTGTCTTTCTTATTCTTTCGTTTTATTAATCAGTAGTGAGTAAAATTATTACTTATTATTTTTTCTCCTTATCAAATTTTGTCAAGGGATATTAATTCACTGAATATTTGGTGTAAACATGGTGATATTGGCTCGTTAGATAAAGCTGGTGGAACATCGAAACCATCTGTTCCGAGTAGACCATTCACTTATGGTAGTAATCGCAATTATCCAAACTTATTGTCGTTAGCATCACAAGCCGACAATAGTCATGCATTTGCTACTACACGTCGTGGGACAGTACATCGTATGTTTTTACTTATTGCACTATTGATATATCTTTGTTTTCTTCAAAATAAACGATATATACATATATATATATATATGATTCAGTAGTCGATGTGCACCTTTTGTTTATGGTGAGGAAAATCAGCACCGAGGAATATAGTCATGTCTCAGTAATACTGTCTAACTGAAGTTGGTTCGTGATGAAGTCTAACAATGGAGATTAAATCACTCCTAATCTCCACAAGTCCTATTAATCTAAATATTAATCTCCAGCCCACTGATGGCTACTAGATGTGTATCTCCTAAGATTGTGGTGAGAAGTCGCGGGTGAGGGGATCCAGTTTATCAAGAAGAAGTGAATGTTTGTCGAGGGCATTAGTTGAGGGTTGAGCTATATCATGGAGTTCTCCCCCAAGTGGTTGAATGCTTAACGAAACTGGTGTCGTAACCTGAAAATCCCGCGTTCGATATCTGATTGGGTTATGGATGCAAATTACTGAAGAGTCGCAAACCAGGACGAAACAACCCCCAACTCATATCAGTCTGTGATCAGACTTGAGACAAAATTCTTCTTCTCAAAGTATTATCAGTCTCAGGCGTGGAAGCAATGCTCAGTTTCGACAAATTTTTTTTCGATTTTTATTCCTTTACGTTCCCAGTGGAGCATAGGGCTTCAAGCTAGTGGCTTGAAGTTTAGGTAGCAGTAGTGGTTATTCTTACGGGATGGGTTGCTAGCCTCATGTCTAACCTTTCCTCTTTACAAGTCTTATTAATGGCTTAGCGAGATAGAGGAATGCGCCGGTGAACGGGGGTCGAACCCCGAACTACATGAGGCGTCGTTGGCGAGCATCCTACTGCTGTGCCACCGACTCCCTTTGCAGAGTTGAACCAGTTGTTATGACTGAGTGTTTAGCATTTCTGTTTTCTAATTTATGAGGTGAGATTATGGTGTGTTCTTCCACTCAGCTGAAATGTAAATTAATACAACACTAAATGTAAGTTGTTTATTATTTCTTCTATTAATGTTTCCAGTGATGATCTCATTGAATGGATAAAGAAATTGCTTCTTCTGTTAAAACGGGGTTACTCATTTCAGAATTTTAGTCGCATATGATAAATATGTGTTGGGTTTTAAAATCTTGACATTAAATCTTGTTATACATGATGATTGAAGGAGTCCAAACAATGACTTTAAACATAGTTTTGTTGGTCACTGGCGTTAATCTATTCCTTCTGAGAAGTACAGTGATAACAAACAGGTCCAATGGTAAACACACAAAACTATATGCTACTGATTGTTTGAAATGAGTAGATGTATACCACTTGCATCAATCAGTGGTACTTGCTAACCAGATTGAAGTAATCTAGACACCGGATAGCTATTTCGCTAATACTACTGGTTGTTATGAATGGTATACAAAATTGCTCATCTGAATCAATCAGTATTATATAGTGTTGTACACTTATGCTTGATATCTTGATTACCATTTATAGTGTCAAGTAGATTGCATATCTGTCTGTTTTCGATTTAGAACTTTGCATCGATGTGCAGCAGTCCAAGTCGCCACACCCCATGTAGCACACAGAGCATGAGAAGAAAGTAAAAAGAAATGCATAATAGATACAGTAGACAGGGATATGAGACAAAGGAATAGTAATAACGAATGACGATATAGTTTCATTGGAAATCATAAGTCAAAAGGAGTGGATGCATCTGCACCGGCCATTGAGAACGATCTTGAAACATATCACCAATTGTTTCCAACCATTGGTTTTTACCATCCCGAGGACCCCAACAAGTCAGGAAGTCTACACCTTCCTACGTGGCTTAAAATAACTGTTGTGGATTTCATTGACTGGTGTCATGTTTTGGTTTGACCATCACTAGCTAACTCTTTTGCAACCTAAGCGGTCGTATGTCAGCTAACATTTCCCGTCGAGGAAGGCGATGGCTAGGCATGCGTATCACATGTTCTAACCATCTCAGTCGATGTAATTTCACAGCCTCCTCGATCGGTTTTCCCTCCTTACCTAGCACTCGACCGAGGCCTAACCTCAATATTGCTCACCCTATTATACCAGCCAACACGGGAGACAGAACGCAGATCGCATATTGTGAAATATCACCTCAAACTGTGTAATTTGTAAATTGTGAATTTGATTTAATTTTGAGGACATCTGGAACAGATGTTGAATCTTCAAGAGTTAGTTCGCTGGGATTTGGTTAGTTTCAAGTTCGACTACGGTTTAATGTCAATTGAAAAGCCATTGAAAACCAGCAGGGAGTACTTGACATCTGTTTGCTCCTTGTTTGGGACTCGTAAATCATTCAGCCACTGGGACTCAACCAATGAATTCTAACTTCTCTCAGTTCATGACTTTAGCGCGACTGGCACCAGCTAATGTCATCGGTAACAAGTATTTGTTTTCATTCCCTTGTGGAGTCGTGAATACCTATTGCTGAAGAGTCCTAAACTCTAGGACGAGACAACTGTCCATTACTCCCTGGTTTATCAATGGTTCTCCAACTGACATCAATCTGTGATCAAACTTGAAACAAAGCAAATGCTTACCAACTAACTCTTGAAAAGTAGTCTGATTATCACCAGTGACTGATTACAAAACGAAGTAACCACTGGGTTCCACTCGGCCGGGAGTCAGGACAAGTAATCGTCGACGAAATTGGATGGTATTCGCGCTAAAATCACGAATTGATAGAATTAAGAATTCATGGGTTATCGAGTCCAGTCGCAGTGACTGTGTCAATGACTGCTTGCCAAGCATGCACATGGTCCGAGGTTCAATTTCCCTCCGATGCACATTCCTACACCTCGCCTAGCTTCGTAATTAGCCGGGTAAAGAGGAGAGGTCGGGCGCGAGACTGTCAACCTCAACCCGTAAAAAGGAGATCATCATTACAAAAACTTCAGAACTCAAGCTTGAAGCCCTATCTTCCAATCGGAGCGATCAGGAATGATGAATATACATACATATATGTATATTTATTTGACAATATTTAATTATTTGCCGTTTGTTTTTCTTAGCTTTGTCGGGAATTCCTTTTGAGATAAACAAACGTTATCTTGCTGACGAAAGCATAGAAAATAGAGTAAGTTCACGTGTATAAAACTATTCATTCATTAGTTAGTGGTTCAATCATAAGGTAAATTGGATCACATTTAACTTAGTTAAACAAGATCACATTTTTAAAAACGAGAAATCACTGTTAATCAAAAAGTACTTACTCATTTTTTGTCATTCTGTTGTGGTTTATAATCCATTGATTCTTTGATTAAGGAGTTTTTGTACCTCTGCTATCATTCGTCATCAGGTACCACTGTATATTCACTTAAAATTGAGGTGTCAAGGTAGCTCTGAATCGGTTGAGTGTTATATTATTATTTATCCCTAGTGTTCAGAATGAAGTATACTCACATTTCGATCGCACTCTGCCCTCTAGCATCACTTCTAACTAGTTCCAAAAATACTCATAAGCTTTTGTTTCCCAATCACATGATCTCCTCCATGTCTCCCTCGGAAAATCCATCCAGTCACTTTCCATTCGAATTCCACTCGTGATCCTGCTGTGCAACATCACTTAATGGTCTTCTCAACGCTTGTCCAATCCAGCACTTCCATTTTCCCTTCTGTATATTGGTTGGGTGATGGGTTCTTGACTGATTTTCTGCCAGAGTTTCTCTTTGCTAATGGTTTCTGGCCATTTGATCTTTAACATCGAGCATGCGAAGCAAGAGAAGAAAGTACAAGAAAAGCACGGTTTTGAGCCATGTCACCAATTGTTCCCAACCATAGATTTTTACCGTCCCGAGGACCCCAGCCTGGAAGTCTACACCTTTCTACGTGGCTTAGACCAACTGTTGTGGATTTCATGGACTGGTGCCAAGTTTTTGTTTGACCGCCGCTAGCTTTTTTCCAGCCTGACCCTATATCCGCTAACATTGCTCGTCGAGGGAGGCGATGGCTTGGCATACGTAACACATGTCCTAACCATCTCAGTCTTTGTAACTTCACGACCTCGTCGATTGATTTCCCCAGTTTACCTAGAACTCGACGCCTAATAAGGTGAGCAACATTGAAGTTATGATATGTCTGATATGCTTTTGGTGACTCACTAAGTCCTTGAACAATGTTATAAGCAGTGACTAGGTTGACATTGGTGTTAAAAATATGTATATTGTACTGAGTGCTGCAGATATCCACACCGATTTCAGAATAAGAAACTCTTGCTTTCCCGATCTTAGCTGGCTTTGGAATTTTTACCCGTGACGCCTGTAGTTGAAACTATGCTGTCTAAGTGGAAGGGACGACTTTCTTTAGTTCTCTCCCATTGGTGGTGACTAGCATTTGTTGTTTGTTGATCGGGTATCTTTATCATGTCTGTCTTTCCAGTGTCCGCCTGTCCTCGCTGTTACTTTTGACGACAACCTGTTGGTTTTTACCTGTAGGTCTTCGAGTTGGTATGACATTAGATATAAATCATCCGCAAAGTTCAAATCTTCTAGCATCTTCTTGTCGACTCAACGTGTTCCTATGTTCTCAAACCTACGATATGACACATAATCCAGTCTACCGCAATCATGGATATTATCGGTGATAGTAGACAGCCTCGTCTAACTCCTGTCTTCACTTCAAAGGCTTTGCTGAGTTCTACGTTGTAAATCACTTGACATGTGGTATTATTATATAACTGTTGAATGAGGTTTACCTCTTTTGCCAGTTTGTTAGTTCTCGCTTGTACAGATAATTGTTTGCTAGAGATAACATCCAGAAAGTACTTCAACCAGCGTGTCTTTAAACCTGTGAGTTCCAGACCATACTACGTTAACTATTGCATGTTGTACCATGCATGTATCTGTTAGACTGATTTTCCGTCAACAGATTTTCATAAAATTTCATAGCTCTTAGCTGAATTACTCAATAAGGGTGGTGGTGTGAAGCCCAACCATTTATCAATGTCTCGAATAATAAATAAGTTAATATTGGTGTTCTAATGATATCATCTGATGTGTTGTAAGGTTGATGTGTTAAACAAAATCATCTTAGACTAGACGCATCACACTAATTACTAATTTCAAATCAAAATATCCACTACACTCCTACAGGGCCCGAATAGCTCAGTGGTGACGTCTCTGACTGCAGCACTGGGTGACGCTGGTTCGAATCTCAGAAGGGACATGAGTTCCTTCAAGGTTGCAGATATACCTTGCTGACGAGTGCCAACTAGCACGAAGCCTATATCCAAGGCTTCCTGCCGATTGTCTCCAACCATCTAATACCATCAAATCATCTTAGACTGTTTATAGCTTGCATGTTCTTTTTGTAGATGGTGACTAGCAGTGGAATCCAGGATGCACATTTCTTCAGCTGAGATGTACTTGCATTCCCCAGTGAGAGTGGTGATGATGTTCCCACTCAAAACTCAAACAAACAGGATGAAATGCACATTTGTAGATTTCACTGTTAGTCATCATCCACCAAATAACATCGTTGAAATATGCCTACTAGGAAGCGCCGACATGTCAACAGTGGGCAAACATCCCACTCCAATCAATCATCAATGGGAAAAACAAAATAATAATGTTTTGACATTCATTTATAAAAGACTTTTTTGACCAGTACAATTATCTGAATATTGATTGATGTTGGGTATTGTCATATTTTTTCAGACGTCAAGTATTACTTCATTGTACAAAACATATGACCAAATTGATTCAGAGGTAAGTTATTACTTTCTTACAAGAGTTTTTTTTTTTAAATCAATGATTGCGTCTAAAATTCGTTTTCATGGTTACTTCTGTTACAATGGTCTTACTTCATCACACTTGTCACTAGGATTTATGTTTTTTTGGTTGTTATTCACTTATCATACTGAACTGAATTATAGAAAATATCCCCATTTAGACATTTAGAAAACAGGAAGATTGAGCGAAGAAATATTTACTTTTCAATTAGATCCTCATCTCTGGCTCTACTCTAATATACATAGCATTTTTATCACAATACACAACAATTTATCTACCAATCAAGTGGCGATATGTTTGTTAACAATAATTAGTCAGTGTCAAAATGTCAATGGGGTGATAATTAACGAAGAAAATTAATATACACAATTAAAAGGTGAAAATGGTTACAACAAGTGGATTGCATAATGCATAATTTTGGAAAAAAGAAGAGCAATTAAGGAATAAGCGTGTGCACAGGTTGATTACGTAACAGATTATTAAAGAAAATAAAACAATTTGGACAATGATAATTTGTAACTAAAGTTGAAGTGGTCATAAGAATAAAATAATTTTTACAAGGATAACACGTAATTAAAGATGAAGTAGTCTGAAAAATAAAATAATTTGGACAATTATAGTTTTTTTTTAAAAAAGAAAAGTTATTCTAGGAGGAGGGGATGAAGTAGTCCGGCTTATACAATCATGTAATGATGGCCAAGGTAAGGAAAGTGGCTGTACAAATTTCTTCTGAACACACAAGTTTGGCTTCTTCAGGTGGCTTCCTATTGCTTCAGCTGTTTGTAGAAGACGAACTCGTAAAGCAAAATTAAGATTAGTAGGAATGCGATAAATAATTTTAAATGCAGTATTAACGTCAACCCTATGCTCACTGTCTACCAGGTGGGCTAAAATAGAGCTACGAATAGATCTTGCTTGTCCGAATTGCTGTATTTTCTTTAATAATCTGTTACGTAATCAACCTGTGCACACGCTTATTCCTTAATTGCTCTTCTTTTTTCCAAAATTATGCATTACGCAGTCCACATGTTGCAACCATTTTCACCTTTTAATTATATATATATATATATATATATTAATTTTCTTCGTTAATAATCACCCCATTGACATTTTGACACTAACTAATTATTGTTAACAAACATATCGCCACTTGATTGGTGGGTAAATTGTTGTGTATTGTAATAAAAATGCTATGTATATTAGAGTAGAGCCAGAGATGAGGATCTAATTGAAAAGTAAATATTTCTTCGCTCAATCTTTCTCTTTTCTGAATTGAATTAGTCATGTAAGTGGTTTTTCTGACTGCTTCTCTAAACTGAGTTTCAACTCACAACCGTAAAGGAGAAGTAGAGCTAACTACTGCGGAGAGTACACACGTGCTGAGTGTTTTTCACTCCTTTAAGTTTTTGGGATTTTTTATTCCTTTTTGCCAGATTATTTACTCTTCATCAAATAGATCTACCTGTTTTACTCGGTTTGTGTTAGTGTAACATTGGAAAGTTGCCTCAAAAGTGGTTTCAGATACTTGAAAATCATGTGACACACTCACTCACTGAAATTAGTCACTTCTCATCTTGATTCAAACTTGCTTGTTGTTACTTATGTTTATATATCTACTAGAGTAAATAGTAATAATAATAACAATAAACATATGCAGAGTGATTGTGAAGGGGCAGTTAGAATAGTACTTCAAACTTTCTTATATATGATGTTTCTTTTCGTTTCAATAAATAGGATTGCTTAAAATGTTTGGGTCAAATACATCATTTGGTTTTATTTCTGGATAACTGGTTGTAAACTACACATAGCCCAGTGTTATTCACCCAAAGTAATTGAATACACGACACTATATTACTGATCACTTGAATACTAATTCCTATTCTGAAAACGTGTGGAGGATAAACCGAGTTGTCAAGATTTACCCATTTGAATTGTTGGCATAAGATAGTTGGAGGCGATCGGCAGGAAGCCTTGGACCTAAGTTTCGCGCTAGTTGGGACTTGTTTAACACAGTCCTATATGAGGTCAATCGCGAGCCCGAATAGCTTAGTGGTAAAGTCTCTGACTGCATCACTGGGGTGGTGCGGGTTCGATTCTCAGAGGGGATATGAGTTCCTTCGAGGTTGCAGAAACGTTTTACTGACCGGTGGTGGGTGCCAACTAACACGAAACTTAGGTCCAAGGCTTCGTGCCGATTACCTCCAACCATCTAATATCAACAATTCAGAGTGCACTGTCATGGTGAGTCACCTAGCATGGTGGACACATTACGAAATTGAGAATTCAATCTGCACCGAAGATGATAGGACTAGATGCAAACATTACACTAGTTACTGAATAGTGTCCACTCAAAAGATTCACTCCTCCACGACAAAAAGCAGCTATACACTACTGACCAATTGTTATGAGTGGTTGTATACTTCTCATTCCAGCAAGTACCGCTTGCTAGCCGGATCTAAGTGAGGCAAACGCGAGATAGGCTGTTTCGTTCATTTTGGATCTAGCTCATCAGTGGTGTACCCAGTTTGACTCAGCTCTCTGAGTTGAATCATTTCAAACCACCCGATTTCTGGCAAATTTACGTGTTTTCTTGATTACCATTTGAAGTATCAAGCAGATCACATTACAGACTGTGGTCAGAACAATTTCACAGCGGTGGAATTTCACCCCTCGAACTGTGGGCTTGGCTAATTGCTAATGAACATGCAAAATGTTAATTTGATTTAAGAAACAACTTGATCAGAAATTACAGTTATCTGGGTATTTATTCTGCATACCCAATAGATTACAGGTGTAATATATATGAAGACTGTGATTTGACTGATTGACAATCTAACAGTGACATAACCTTTGGTTATATGAACTAGAGACCGATTCAAAGCCTACATAGGAAAAATTGGTCAATAATATGTCTGTTATGTGTGTCCTAGCGTCCGACTTTTAGTTATTTCTGGTTGTTCATTTAATATCTGAATTTCCAAGTAATGTGTACTTTGTCAGCTTTGTTTGACGGTGGTACTACGTTGGATATTATTTATACGTTAACTACTTTGCTTTGAAGTACCGACATCTAAGTATTATTTTAAAAAAACATTCGCTATATTACTAAGCCTTTTAATATGATGTTTTCAAATTCATTCAGGGATTCATATGAAAATCTGTACTATAGTGTAATTTTTTTGAATTTTAATTAGTCTGTATTATCGCTGATCATTAATCAGCCCAGTAGTCTTTGATACTGATTTCTTATCACATTGGTGATGTGAACATGGGATATTTATAGGTGTAACAACAGAAGACAAGGGCCGGCAACAGATCGTTTTTTATTACGGAAATCAGCACGTATTTACATATATTTCATGTACATTATTACAGCTTATTCAAGCAGACAAACACAGTCTTCTGATTGGTTGTTTCGAGTAACCTCGGAAAATGGAGCCATTTATCTGCGAATCATATTTGCCCACGTCAAGTCTACTGTGATTGATTGTTGAATCAGCCTTGTTCATATTTTCTCACGGGCAATATTAGTGACCTAGATATTGACGTAAATTAATGTCTACCAATTGGCTAGCAGCCTGCTCTCACCACATAGGCAGTAGTGTGTGAATATGGAATGTTTCATTTTGTTTTTGATAGAAAAACTGATATTTCGCCTGCATATAACAATACAATTTATCGAATTTATTATTTTGTTTTCTCTTTTTCTTTTTTTAACAGTTTTGTTACCGTTTTGATCAGGAACGATTTTTACTTGCCACTTCAACTTGAAACCTACCGAACTCCACGGCAGATAATTTTGAAACATCCTCCACATGCAATCAGCTTTCCCTCCAAAAACTCAGTGACAAAATATATTATTAACTTTAAGCACTGTTTTCCAGGCATCATCTCAACTCAGATTAATTATATTTTACTTTTTGTTATTAATAAAGAAACTTTTTTTGGGTCAAAATTTCAAAGATTGCTGTGTTCATGTAATTACTCTAAACATTTATGAGGTGCAAAGCGATAAAAATAGCTCGTTCCTGTTGTAACTGGCCGCAACTTTCAGTGATATGAGGTGTTTATTGCCCTTTTTTTTGAAAGTAGAGTTTACCTGATGAGTTCTGGAAATTGTGAAGTATACTTTCAGTGCCTCTCGTGACGGTTCCAACTATCAAATATCACTTAAAGTTTGATTCGATGGCGACGCTTGTAGTTTTGTTAAAATTCTGCACAGCTGTTTGATAAAATTCGGCCAATACTTTAAACTAGGTAACATATTACTGACGACCATCTAGCCAACTTATTGTTCGCTTACTGTTTTAACAGGAGACTGAGGTCAGTGAAAAATCATTTCCATTAATATTCCAGTGACTGAATGACCCAGTGTTGCATGTGCGAATTCATAGGAAGCGGCCAAAAATTCAAATCGAAATTTCAGGTGAATAGCTGCACGGGTAGGAGTGTTCATCATTCCTCAACTTTAGATTTAGCTTACGTTGTGGTCTTGAAATAATCTCATTGGACATCTTTTCGTTCCTTAGGCCAATCGGAACAGCTTATTGTTCTTTGATCCAGTGGACTTCTAGTGTGGTTAAAAATGAACAAGTAAAAGTGTTCGTTACGGGTTCTCTTTCCTTGCGCCGTTGCACTAGTATTTGTTGTCTTCGGTTTGATGGCACTTGCTGATAACCTAGCTTTTTTAGACTAGATTTGTACTGTTTGTTTTCGTTTCTCAACTGGTATCTAGCTGTAACATCCCTAGGGACAATGTGCACTAGTCATCGATGTGAGGAATGAAGTTGGCATTTCCTTCAGCAATTGAAAACATATAGAATGCAGTGCTTAACTTCTAATAATAGTAGTCTGCGTATGTTGTTTATTGAGTGGTGATTTTGTCCCTGTGGGATGTTTCGAACGTTTATGTCAGTGCCTTCAGACTGGTTGTTATTACTTCGAGTCTATCATTGCCAAAGTAACAAGCATCCTAGTTCTAAAAGACCTCATGTCCTTTTACTTCATATACTGTGTGCTGACGGTTAGGGTAACCCGCATGACAGTCAAATGGATGTATTGATTTTCAAGTGACTACTACTGAGTTCAAATGGGAACAATAAAATACTCAGTTCTGTAGTAGGCATTCTTGTCTTAGTAGTTTGAAAGCAAACTAGGATAGGAGCTTCAAATTATTAGCTACAGGTCGAGTGCTGAATAAAGGACTAGAGGAAACACGATTTCAAAAGGATTTGGATACAACCCTTCTGTCATGCATGGATGGGTTGAGAACGATTTAAACCCAATAGTTTTAACCACTGTTGCCTATCTTCACATACCTGACAAAAGTGAGTGTTGAAATCTTAAGCTACTCCATTATCACCACAATGCTCTCTCTATTTTATGCACAATTACACTGCATCAATGTCCATTTTGTTGCTACATACGGTAGTTGGTATTCAGATTTCTGTCAAAATATGGACACTTGATGCAACAATGCTGCAGACGAGCCAAGGCTTCCCTACCCTACTTCTAGCACATTTTATTGATTTTGAAAGGACATTTTGTGATTGGCTTCACAACAAAAACACTCGTCTTGTGAGATTTATGTCAATCCTTCATCATATTCTCGTACATTTCGTAGTCGGTGTTTTTCATTGATACTGGATGGCGGCAGGTTAGTGAAATATTGATAGATTGATGAAACTGACAGCACAAAGCATAGTTACGCAAATGGGCTGTCTGTTTTCAGTCCTATTTACGACTCTTAGTGACTGATTCAGTTAGCAGTAGTAAGGACATGCCTAATACGACTCAGATTAAGTCAGTGGTGCTCACCATTGAAACTTTTACCATCTAGTGTATGAGACAGATTAAAATATATCGTAAAGACACATTTAAAAAGGCTACACTTAACTCTTCGAATGATTACAGTATACCCTTTAATATGAAATTCAATATCACTTAAGACCGCGTATAACACCTACAACCTTGTAAAGCGTGACTTTACTCTAACATCTCTATTCTATCCTATCCAAGTGGCTGAAATGAAAACAGTGTAGCTTAATGGCTGAGTGCTTATATCTTCACTCGTTTTAAAAGTGCTTTTTATTTTAACACAGCCATCAGCTGCATTGCGTCATGAGATTACTTTTATTCCCCAACACTCAGGTGACTATTCACCTTTAAAATTCTCAGGAAACAAACATACTTTTCCTAGTACCACGTCTACTGTATGATCTATATGAAAATATTTTTACTTAAACTATACTTCGAATCTGCATAAAGAATAGCGGGCGTTTTCAAAATCTCCTTTCTACATAGTTTATTTTGATGTGACTTATTATTATTTCCTTTAATTCCTAGAGGAACATATGGCTTCAGCTGCACGTCTCCATTGCCTTCGGTTCTCTGCTAAAGTTTTCACCCGGCTCCAGGTCTGCCCAAATGCTTTCATCTCCTCTTCACATGACCTCGTCCAAGTCACCCTTGCACTGACGACCAACTCGCCGCTTCCCTTTCGGGTTCCACTTGAGCAATGGCTTGTCTAATGATGTCACTTGGTGGTCGCCTCAGAGTATGGCCAATCCATCTCCATTTCTTCCTGACTATTTGTTTCACAATCGGTCCCTCGTTTGTTCGCTCCCAGAGATCCCTGTGGCTAATCTTTTCTGACCATCTGATCTTGAGTAGTACTGAGCGAAAACAGCTGTTAATGAAGGTCTGTAGTTTGCTTGAGATGCTCTTTATGACGCGCCAAGTCTCTGATCCATATGGCGAGTTGCACTGACTTCACATTGGAGTTGAAAATCCGTATCTTATTTTTGATGATGAGTGCTATTGACCTCCACACAGACTTTAGAGTAATGAAAGCTTGTCTTGCTTTCCCGATCCTCGCTGCTTTGATATCCTCATCAGTTCCGTCTGTAACTTACTTCTTCATTATAGATTTTTACATCCATTAATAAGTATGAAGATGTGACCAAAAGAGTCTATGACATGATAATCATGATTATATGTTAGTTTTTAATTGACCATGAAAATAATAATTTACTCTCGTTTTTAAGAAAACGTTCATTCGCCTCAGCATACCTAAGTAGCAATGCTGTATCGGCTTTAATGCCAAATATCGTAGTGATGTTTTTCAGATATACGTGCCATATAGCATAGGATATAATAATAATACATTTCGTATAAACGCGTAAGCTTACATGAAATGCATGCCATTTTTACAGACACGATCAATCATGCTAGAAATTGCGACTGGTAATTAGCATATATTAGCACTTTTTCAAAAGTTCAAACTGTTGAATTATAGTACAAACAATCAGAACAGATTCTTATAAATGTTAAATTGTAAATCCTTCTTCGCTAAGATCACCATCAAAGTTGAGCGACAACCCAAACCTCGTTCCATTTCCTGATGATAGTTTTTGCCCATCGATAAACAACATATATTTGAGTGAGTGCTATTCCCCCACGTGATTGAATGCTATTTCAGGAGGAGGAGGAGAAGAACGTCCTGGGCAGCTGCAAAATGGTATAAGTCGCAATAATGGATAATACATCATTGGAAGTACATTTACAAGATAAATACAAGAAGGAGCTATAGGGTACTTGAAATGAATGTACACGTTTGCAATGTATGATGCTAACCATATTGGTCTTATTATGGAAAACTATGACATTTTCGATGAAAATATAGTTTTTCTTATACATATGTGTTGTTTTTATGATTTTTCTTCATCAAAGCAAACCAGACATCATGCGAGCAAAGAATGTGAATGAAAAGAGTAAATTTCAGCATTATTACAGACCTAAGGAGTTGAGATAAAATAGAGTATGACAGTAATAAGATAAAAGGATTGTCGTGAAGTATATAATTCGCATTTCAGAGAGAAGTGGCTTGAGAGATTAGGACCTGTAGAATATGCTGACCTGTAAGATGTCTGGCGAACTTGTGTACGGCCGATGGGGTAGCATCTTGACAAGATGTTGAGCAGGCTTGTAGATCTTAGGAGCAAAAGTGGTTTTTTTATAATTTAGATCTGTTCAGTCATTGTTTTTTTTAAATTTTTTTAAGTTAATCTTTCTTATACTGAGGATCTGAACTCATGTTTAATTTTCGAGCTGTCAAAAAATGCATATTGCTTTCCTACAGATCGGAGCGATTCACACATGTGACCACTATCATATCTGCTGATCAGCATGCGCCACCCTCCCTCCTTTTTTGATATTAAGCTCTGAGGCTTTTTGCAATGACTGTAGTTGCAATATTGCATTGCTTTGACCCCATCCCAATCATACAGTATGCTGCACATTAACAGCCTTCATGACAAGTGCATCCCATTAGGTCACCGGACACATCAATACCTGAGGACATTCTTAGCACTATTTTCATCATACACATGAACAAGTGGGTTACTGCAAAGGACTAGGAAATTAAGTTTCCCTTAAGTATTATGAAGTATAGAAATAGCTTGTATTACAGCAACTAAGTTATATTCCATTTCACAGAAAATATCCATTGAGTCATGAAGAAATTAAAAGACAGATTCAGCGAAGAAAATTTTCTTTATCGACGAAATCATCTTCAGAGGTGGTGGTCTATTATTGAGTAGTAGGGGGTGACATTTGGCAGTGTGAAATGGGTAGTGGAACAATTAGTGATAAATTTATGTAGAGTGGTCCTGAGAAAAACAACTGGTTAGCAGAACTTGTTATGCTTAATTTTCATGACTAATTTTTATAAGGTGTGCGTTATACATTGCAAAGTCACTCATCAACTTCTA